TGAATATAAGAAAAAAATTAAAATAAAAGGATTCTCATTGCAAAAAAATAAAATAAAATAAATTGTTGAGTTATTAAAGTTTGAATCAGGAAGTTATTACCTGTGTTTATATCTTCCAGTTTTTTCCATAATCTTTCCTGTACTAGATTTGAAGTTTATGTCACAGTTGTTGATCTACTTGGAATTGATCTTAGTACAGGGCGAAAGACAGGGATCTCTTTTTAGTCTTCTACATGTACACCCAGTTTTCCCAGAACCATGTGTAGAAGAGGCTGTCTTTTTTCCATCTATATTTGGACACCTTGTCAAAAATCAGGGTCTTCTAATCAGAATGTTTGTGTCTGTTTTTATGCCACTATAAGGCTGATGTTATTGCTATAGTTCTGTGTGATATCTCTAGTACTTCTCTTTTTGCTCAGTATTGCCTTGACTATTTGAGGTCTTTGTGCTTCCCTAAGAACATTAGGGTTGATTTTTTAAATGTCTGTGAGGAATGTCTTTGGAATTTTGATGGGGATTGCTTTGAACCTACTGGTTGCTTTTAGTATTGTAGCCATTTTCCTAATATTAATTCTGCTGATCCATGAGCATGGGATATCTTTCCTTCTTCTGATGTTTTCCTTTCTTCAGTGGTTTATAGTTTTCATTGTAGTTATCTTTCACTTCCTTTGTTAAATATATTCCTAGATTTTTTTCAGACTGTTATACATGGAACTATTTTCCTAAATTCTTTCTTAGTTGGTTCATTGTTGGTATATAGGAAAGCTACTGATTTTTACGAACTGATTTTTATCCTATTACTTGGCTGAAGGTGTTCATAATGTCTAGGAGTTTTTTTGGTGGAATTTTTAGTTTTTTACTTGCAAGATCATGTCATATGCACATAAGAATAATTTGACTTTTCATTTAAATCATTTAAAATAATTTCCACTTGATATATTGTTCCTTTTATTAGTATGAATTGATATGGTTTGTCTCTTCTGACTAATTTAAGTTTGAAGGCTACTTTATCATTGGGATGACCCTGTTTCAGGGTACATTTGCTTAGAAAATCTTTCCCCACCCTTTCAACCTAAGACAATGGTTTTTTGGTCAGAGGGAGATGTTTCTTGTATGCAAAAAGTCATTTTGTCTTGGTTTTCTAATCCAACTCATGAGTTAATATTGTTTAACAGGAGATTTGAGACTTTTAACATTCAATGTTAATATTGAGAAGTATGGGGCAAATCTGGCCACTTTTGTTGTTCTGTGTGTGTGTGTGTGTGTGTGTGTGTTGTATGTGTTTGTCTGTGTGTATGTATAATTGATTCTATTCTTGCCTACTCTACCACTGCTTATCTGGTGATCTCATGAGATTTATTTATTGTCTTAACTATTTACATGACTATGTTTATCTTCATCTTCTGTGTTTAAAATTCCATTGAGTGTCACTGGACTGCAGATTTAGTAGACATCCATTTGATTAGTTTCTGTTTATTATAGGCTTTTGTTTCTCTTGCAATTTTGAATGATAACTTATCTGAGTAGAGTAATCTAGATTTGAAATAATTTTCGTTCAATATTTGAAATACTTCATTTGCCTTTCTTACTTTTAAGGTTTCTTTTGAGAAATCTGTTACTCTAATGAATTTACCAACATATGTGATTTGATGGTTCTCCCTTGTAGCTTTCAATATTCTTTCTTCCTTCTCTGTACCTAATGCTTTAACTATAATATGCCACGCAGAGTTTCTATTTGGGTTGTGTATATTTGGTGTACTGAAGGTCTCCTGTACCTGGGTGCATCTCTTTCTCAAGATTAGGGAAGTTTTCTCCTACTAGTTTGTTAAATATGTTTCCTATAGCTTTGCATCTTTTCTCCTTCTTCAGTGTCCATGATTCATAGTTTGGTCTTTTAAAGTCAAATGTATTTTTTAAATAAGACTTAAAGAAATTTTTATTTCCAGAGCTTCCTTTTTTTTTTCTTTTTAACCCATCTATAGCATTTAAAATTCCCCTTTAAAGGCTTGTATTGTCCTTCTTGATTCATTTATCTATTTTTTTAATCTTCCTTAATTTTTATTCAGCTGTTTGCTTGCATTTTTTTTTAGTTTATTTAGTTGTTTCTTTGCCTTCTCATCAAATTCATTTCATTGACTTATTTTAGCATGTTTTCTTTAAACAATTTAATCATTCTTACCATCATTCTTTGACGTCAGAAATTGAGTTTTCATTACCTTCACTATCCATCAGATCCTTTGTTCTGTGATTGTTCACTTTTTGAGGACTCATTATCCCTTTGTTTTTCTTCTCTCTTTTGAGATATGCTCATCTGTTATTCTCAGGTTTTTGTCTGCATTTCTCCTGCTGTATTTCTCATGTGTCCCCTCTGGGCCCTGGATTACCTATTTGCAAACTCCATTGCCTGCTTCTTTTGAGATTGAGACTGGAAGTTGATCTCTAGCTGACTAACTTTCTCACTCTCAGTCCCTACTTTGGGTAGAGAAGCTGTGATGGGTGGTGAGTAGCACCTCCCCTCTCCTACAGGGCAACTAGGGGAGCTTTCACTCATTCCTTTAGTCAGAGGCTTTCTCTTTCTCCCTATCCTTCCTTTGGTTGGAGGTACATGGGGCTGAGCAGGTAGTACACCACCCATTTCCCCACCAGGCAGGTGTACTATCCTTCACTCAGTCTGTTTAGCCAAGGCTATCTTGTGATTGTGTGGGGTGAAGTCAGATTCAGCTCACTTAGCTTTGAATTTCCTCAGGGGGTGGGACATGAGTGAATTTTTATTTCTCACAGTCTGGGCTTTAGCTCTCTAGGTTTTTTGCTTCTTGCACATCTTTTGGATAAAGAAACACTGGGATGAGTTGTGCTGGCAGCACCACTTCCTCACTGGGCTGATGTGGGAGACTCCTCTGTTTAGCCAGTAGCTGTCTTGTGTGGGAGTAGTCAGATTCAGCTTGCTTTGCTACTAGGTTTCATAGTAGTGGTTGAATGAGTTATTATTTACCGTGTGCTTTGCTCTAGACAGTTATCCTGCTCTCTCCCTGCCCCTCATATGGTTAGAGAAAGTGATGGGTTGAGAGGCAGCTTCATCACTGTTCCCCACCAGGCAGATGTGTGTGTGCCCTATCTCAATTGCTTTAACCAAAGGCTGTCTAGAGGTGGAGTTGGAGGAGGCAGTCAGACTCCCATGAGCTGAGCTGGCCTGTGTGATAGGCCTCAGGACTCAGAGTGACTAGCTTACTTGCATGGTATGTGGGCTCATCTCTAGTCTCTCTGGTATCTGAGGAAATTCATGTTGGAGGTTGGGGAATGTTCTGTGCCTCTGTATTCCTGGTGGTTTTCAAACTGGAGAAAACTAAGATCTGGACAGAAAAGGTGTTTAAAAATTGTCTACCAGAGTGGTTCAAGCAGTAAGAGCACCTGTCTCACAAGTGCGAGACTCTTAGTTCAAACCTCAGTGCTGCAAAAACTAACAAACAAACAAACAAAAAAGCCCGGTGGAATTCTGGTGGTTGTGGTGGCATGGGATTGAGCAGGTCCCTGTCAGCAAGCATGTGTCTCTGGTGGATTTGTGATTTTTAATTGTATTTACTAGTTGGTATCTCTAGTTTTGGTCTGTCTTTATACTGGCACAAACTTCTTTAAAATTTACTTGACAACTACCCTAGCAGTCATGAACCTAAGGTTTTCTTTCAGGTTTGTGAAGGCTCTGAGACATAGAGGCTTTAGCCATCCTCCATCTTGCTCTGACCCCTGAATTTAATTCTTAATGACAGGGGAGAATCTTTATATTTCATAAAACACTACAAGATAGATGAGAAGTTGTAAATTTGCTCTAGCAAAGATACCAAGATTTCCATTAAACCCAAAGTTTGTTTCTATTTGTGGGAATCCATTATATACTCAAGAATCCATCACAACTGTGGGCAGTGGTTCACACCTGTGATCTCAGCTACTCTTGGGGTGGAGATCAGGATGATCATGTTCAAGACCAGCCTGGGAAAAATTTAGTGAGACCACATCTCAACAGAAATTTGGGTGTGGTGGCACTTTTCTCTTAGTTCAGCTGTGCAGCAGGCCTAATTAGGAATGTTGTGGCCCAGGTTGTCCCAGGCCAATAATGAGACCCCACATGAGTCCTATGGCTGGACTCATTTATCTTTTTCCACAATGCTTCAACACTAAGAGCAGATTTATAATTATGTGAGTGCCACTTTTTTTTTTTGCAGTACTGGGGCATTAACTCAGGGCCCTGACCTTGAGCCACTCCTCCAGTCCATTTTTTTTGTGATATGTTTTTCAAGATAGGGTCTTGCGAATTATTTCCCCAGGCTGGAATTGAATTGCAATCCTCCTGATCTCTGCCTTCTGAAGATAGGGTAACATGCATGAGCCACCAGCACCCTTCGTCAGTATGACTTATTGATCATTACATTCATTATGAACTCTGTATAACAGACATTAATACAGCCACATACTCTATTTTTCCAGTGGATAAGTGTCTCTTCTCATGTCATGATGAAATGAGCAACTTTTCTCTAGTCCACACTTTGTCCACAATATACTGCTTGACCACACGATGAGAAATAACAGAGCAAAGTGACCATGGAATGAAATCCATGAAACACTGAGTAAAAATAATTCTTTCCTCTTTGTAAGTTGGTTTTCTTGGGTATTTTTTCACAGCAATGGAAAACTGATTAACCCACATCCTATCCAGAAAGACAGTAGGTATTTATTTATATCTAATTATAATGAAATAATTATAATTAGTATTTAATTATGTAAATAGACTGTCAGTATTCCTTTGAATGTATTGTGGTTTCCTTCAAATGTCTTATTGTGATTAATAATAGATATTTTATATAGTAATTTAGTATCACAAATGTAAATGTGACCCATGTTTTCTATTATGCCAATTTATTAAAAAAAATTTCACTAGTATATAGGAATGATACTGAAATTCTTTCCTTTAAATTGCTTTTTGAGTGGAGATCAATTCCTGGAATTTCTTAAAACTGTGTCACTTTGATGAAGGTATCTTCCTGCTTTGCTTGTCTTGAGCCTTTATCCCTAGAAAAGAAGCAGCAATAACAACAAATCAATAAGCAGAAAAATGAAAAGACATGGAGAAAGCACATATCTTCTGCATTCTTTAAGTAAGCTGGTAATTTGCACACCAGATTTGGAAAAAACCATGACCCCTGCTCAAGGACCTGGGACTAATCTTCCTGGCAATAATGGGGAAGCACAACACGGTAGTTTCTACTATAACCCTTGGACATTAAAGCATTTTCCAAAGGGTTTTTTGGGGAAAAAAGGAAGTATACCAACACTTTTAATTCTTCTCCGTAATTCATTATTTTAAAATTCCTTTATTCACCACTCCTTTCTTCTCTTATAAACACTTTTGACCACAGTGAATATCATGGACATACCTGTTCAAGATGCTCTAGTCTTGTAATGATCTCCCCAAAGTACTACAGTGGCAAGAGCAGTACTTGGGCTGGGGGGTATAAGATGACATTTGTATCTGTGTATGTTTGTTAAATACTTTCAGGTTTGTGTGGTCATGTTAGGGAGGGAAGGACAGAAAAAATTTCATCTTACTTACTGGTATATCTCCTGTATATACTGTCTCTATAATCTCTATCATCCAGGGAGCCTCAGGGACCCCCTGAAACCACTGTATAAATGAATGGGGCTGTTTCTAACCCAAGGACACTAATCCTTGGAAAGAGCCCAGCACTTTCTGGAAGACAGTGGCTCTGAATGGTGATTTTTCTTATTCATTACAGATCTAGAACCCAACTACCATAGGGGACAGATAGAGGTTTTACTCACTCCTTTTCTATATCTTGGATGGAGTCAGGCAGAGGCTCATTCCTGGTTTCAGGAAGGAGAAGGACAACAAGGCCAGAGAGGATGGCAAAAACTCCATAGATGATCCAGGGTAAGGGTTCAGAATATGTTGTGAGGGTCATCAACAGGGGAGCCAGAGCTCCCCCAATACTACCAGCAATTCCAATGATTCCTAAAGCTGTTGCCCTTGGAGCAGAAACAACAATAAAAAAATAATTGTTAAAATGCACATATGGAATTTATAACTTCGAATCTTACATTAATATGGGATAGAAGGCAATGTATTGAGATATGTGTATGTTGATGAATGACTATGGCTTTTAAATTTTCTGTTTTCTAATATAAAATGTTATTTGCTTAACTGACTAGTAGATTAATTTTTAGGATGAAATATGCAAGATCTCTGTGTTTGTCTGCATTTCTGTTCATGTATATATGTATGTATTTTACATATATGTAGTATTTCCTGCCTCTGGAGACTATTACCAAATTCTAAAACTAATTTATGGGTTTTAATCTGATTGGCTTAGATATATATAAGTCCTTACATAAATTAAGTGTACCTGAAAAATCCCAGGAATATAAAAACTAACTGAAGTACTTAGAAATTTTACACATGACTTGGACAAATCTTTGATATATAAAATCAGTATCAAATAAAAAAATTATGTCTATCCAGTAAAGCAATAAAAAATAAAATTTCTGTTTTCTTTGCTAACATTTTCCTCATGTTCACAGAATAAGATATTTATTTATTAATTAAAACAGTACTACTCATGGTACCTGTCTTTTTGGCAACTCTAAAGATTGCATGAGGTGTTGATTTGTGATTTACTACTGGATTCAACAGTACCTTGGAAAAAATTAGCTTTCATTAACCTTTGGATATACTTGTTATAATTGCAATTGATTATTTTTGATAACTACCCAGTTCTGTTTTCTTCCCTCAATGAGTCGATAAGCTGAGAAAGTTGTGCTTTAATTCTGACAGGGAACCCATGAAGTTTTGTACCTGATTACAGTGGGAAGTAGTTCATTTGCATGGCAAAGAGAAGTGGTAGCAGCAGCACAAGGAAGTCCTCCTCCCAAAACTGTCAAAACCATACGCAGGGTCTGCATTTCTGAAAAGAGAAGACCAGGGAGAGCCAGGAAGTCTGAGTTGCTGGAATCCGAATTCCCAAAATCACAAATGGAAAACGTTCTCATTGGATGGGGCATAAGTGTAGAATATATTGTGGCGAATGGCACAGAGGCAGAATTTCTACAGTGACTAAGTATTTGAGAAATATGACTTATATGCATAATTTTATTTATGGTAAATAAAAAGTTCTGAACAATTGTATTCACTCTCCTTGCATCTCTGAAATTTGCCAAAGAAGGAATGCTGGTGGCAAGTATAGAAAGAGTCCACTTTCATTTCTTGTATCCAGTGTCTCCTAAATCCTTCCTGCAGAATCTAGATATGTCATGTGAGAAATTACTGAGGAAAATAAACTCTTTCACGTATTCAAAGAGGTTAAAAACATGGTTGATAAGTGTTGATGAGATATGGGGCTAATGTTGTAGAAGAATGTCATAAAAGAATGAGAATCCCTATATTGATGGGCGAGCTGGAAAGAAGATAGATCTAGAATAATGCACAAAGACTAAGAACATAGTCTTCCTTCAGGTAAGACTGGAGAATTACCTGAAGACTTTTTTAGGTAAGACTAAAAATGTCAGAATTTGGAAATCACTGATGGAAAGTTTCAGAGTCAGTTTTCTACGAAAGTTTCATAGAGTCAGTTTTCTACTTACTTAAACATCTCAGGAGAGTTTTAATCATTGCAGTGGGTATTTTGCAAGGAAGCAACTGACATCATTGGTGACATGCAAGAGTAGTGGATCCCATCAGTTGAGATTTTGTAAAACACGTAACTATTCTTTGTATTCACAAAAGCATGGTGACCACCTGCATTGCCATATTCATTACGAATATCCATTCAATTTGGTAAAATCAATTCCAAGAGAGTCTTAGTGGCTTAATATATTATTCCTTTTGTGCTCCACTACTCTACTTAAAACAGGGAATATGATTTTTTGCATTGCAATAACTCCTCAAACCAAGGGTGCCATTTGTGGTAATTTCATAGCAGACTCATGAGTTGATATATAGGTTCAGGAAATATAAGTTGTAACTGGAGGGGAAGTAATAAGACAGAGCTGTAATGAGGAAGTAACAGTATGGTATGGTCATACTAGGACACAATTATAAAGTCTAGACTGCACATGTTTGCAGTGAAAAAGTGTGATTGACCAATGAGCAGATGTTCCATTGCTGACCTTGAGAAACTCAGGAATAAATGACACCAGTTTCCAGAGATTTATCAAATGCTATGAAGACAATGATATGTAAGAATGAAAATTTACTGACTTGTCTCTTTTCCCAGCATGTTAATGGAAGAATTTATCTTAAATGTCACATAGGTGTCTTAGAAATATTCTGATTTTATAAAGGTGTGAGCTGCAAAATTCTGAGAAAAGCTGGAAAATATTTCCTTTTCATTCTGTATACATTCCTCACCTTGCGGCACAAATATGATTGCAAAAATGGAGATTCCCACCAGAGACATAAAAAGCAGTTGACCTTTTCGACGACCCAGCCAATTCATAGCAAAAAGTGCCACATAATTGGCTGGGAGGGATAGTACACCTAAGAGACCGTGCAACAGGAAAATATTCATCTCAAGGTACTGGAGGTGGAGAATCAGTCCGAAAGTGGACATCCATGTTGAAAATCTGTAGTTAACAAAGCACAGACACATGTCACAAGGTATAGAGTATAAGTCCTAAAGATGAAGATAATATTGGCCCAAGTAACCAATTTTTATTGTTGAATATAAAGGCACATCTGTTTTCTGCAGTATTTCCTTATAGGAAATTATTATTATATTATTTTTTATATTATATATATTTATATATATAATAATATAATATATATAAATATATTATGTATTTATGTAATATTTTATTATTATTATAACCATAATAAAGTAACTATATGATGATGGAGTTCATCGTGTTAATTATTTTTGGAGGGAACAAAGGGTATTGTAGAGGATACACAATAGGTTCTTCTGAGGTTTTAGAGTTTTTCCTGTGTCTGGAACTTCATGAAGGATATGACTTTATGTATATGTATACACACATATATTTGTTCAACTGTTCATATTTATGCATTTTACTGTATGAAAATTTCCCTTCCTTAATTGGAAATAACATAGAAACTGAGAGGCAAAATTAATACCATGATTGAGCACTCAGCATCAGTCTCTGGTGATGAGCCTGGAAAAGTGGTGATAAACATAACTCCCCACGATACAGATCTCAAAACCCTTTGACTACATCTAGCCACAGCAATTGTGTGTATGCCTTCCTCATCTTTTATCTCCAAATCTATTCCTACCACATACTGTACCCTTTGAAATAAGAAATAGATTCATTTCTCCTGTCTTAATAAGAACTGTGTGAAGCGTACCTCACAAAGCAAAGAAGGAACATTCGCTTACGCAGATGGGGGTTGCGGAACAAGGCAGCCAGGGAAGGTTTTGTTTGTGCTGCCTCCAGCTCCTCCTTCATCGTGGATGTCACAAACTTTGAGAACAACAGCAAAAGCAAAATGTTCAGTTATCACAAAATGGTGGGCATTGTGGGGGCATCAGGACTCACAAGGTACAAGATTGATGAATATCATTTATGTATAGAGGAATAAGACAGTGAAGAACAAACCTCAGGCATAAAAAATGATGGGAAATGTAACTCAGGAGTTGAAGAAACCTCAGAAAATTCTTCAGTGAGGAAATATTAAACAGGATATTAATGAAGGCTATAAGCATTGACAAGAGTGCATAGGTTAGAGATTCAGAGCAACAAGGAAACTTGGATTATGATCCAAAGCTTCATTTATACCAGATGAATGTGAAAGACATGGCAACTGGCCTTGGTTCTCCACAGATTGCCAATGGTAAAAAAAACAATTTGTCAGTATCAAAAAGGAGAATAATTTCCTGAGAGTCTTTTAGTTTTCAGGTCATGCTATATCAAGAAAATTCTGGCGTAGTGCGTCTCCATGAATGAGATGCTTGGGAATAAGTCTGAAGCTTCAATCAGGGGTGGTCCAGGTTTTGGTATAGTAATAGGTACACTCAGACTAGCTTTGAACTTGGAGTTATACAATGACTGTGCTACTTGCTTGGTAGACACCTTAGAAAGGTGACAGAACATCTCTATGCCTGCATTTTTCTGTCATGCAAAAGAACAAAAAGAAGCAGGAATAGAAGTATCAGGATGAAGAGAAAAATTTGAGGATGAGAAAAGTAATGTTTCTCTCATGGATTTCCTAGGCTGTACACAAAGTGTATATGTAAAATTATTTCAAGTAGAGTTCAGGGCCATAGTTAGTTTAATACTTACTCAAATATATTAGCTCCATGGTCATCCATCTCTACAAAGGAATCAATACTACAAAGGGTGTTGGAAAAATTTCATGATGAAGCAAATTCAGAGAAAAGTTGGTAAGGCAGCTGAGGATTCTAACACAACCAAGAATGTCCCTTCAGTTTGCTGCCCCAGCCTCAGCAGCAAAAACACTGGGCTTATGATTTTCAGAAAGGAGTCATGGTGGTGCCCTCTGCATCATGAACCCATCACATTTTATCACGATATCGTGAGAATGGGCTCCAAGGACACCTTTAATCAGGGCCATATGAAGTCTGAAATGTCTGTGAGGACAGCCTTCAAACACAACTAATATCAGAATATCATATCAGAGTATGCTGGGATCATCTTGTACTACTTACTCATTTTTGATAATGAAGTAGAAATATGAGTAGAGTTACCAGAAATATTTATGCAGAGAATGCTAGATCACTTGTGGGGATTCCTAATAGTGAGTTCTCCTACCAGTAATATCTTTACGTGGAGAAAAGGAGGCACATATTAAAATGAGAATTTGCTGATTCCTTACATTTTAAATTCCATCTTTCCTTATAATTTTTATATGTGCCAATCATAAGACCACATTGTGGTAAAACTTGTGAAATAATGTCACACCTCTAGTCTTGTTCACATCTGTGTTCAAGAGTCACATTGTATAAGTGTACAAGAGCCCATTGTTAAAAATTTAAGTAAATTATGATCCTAGCTCAAAACCCACTCTGATGGAAATATACACATCAGGCAAACTGATAATTACTGAAATTCTGGGACTTAGGATTTTTTTTAGATCCTAGATTATTGTGATTTGAACATTTACTGGCCTTGCTCATCAGCAGTCATTTCGCCAGCTCTCAACTACAAACAGTCACATTCCTGGCTGTACAAAGCTGGCTAGAACTACTCTAACCTGTAAGATGAATTTCAGATATTACAACTTCCCATATGTACCCAGTGCCCCCATCCTGCCTCAAGGTTGAGTCTGCCTCCTTGGGATTCACATATCACCCTTGCTTTACTGCCCAAGACCATTTACTTATTGTGGAAGGTGACCTTTCTGAAGAGACAAACTTCAGACTTCTTTCCGTTTGTCAAAGAATTTATCACAGTTAAGGAAACATAACTGGAAGGAAGAAAGTAAAGAAAGAAAAAAGATATGGGGAAGGAAATTGGAAAGAACAGATACATACTGGAAGCTGAGAGCTCTGACATTCAGGGCAGGAATAAAGATGTAACTCTGCTTTGGGAAGGTGTTTGTGGATGCGACCAGAGATAGAGGAAGTTGATAATTATTTTTTATTATTCAAACCAATTTACTAAGGTATAATTAACATAAAAAGCTTTACATTACATAGGATTTTGGAAATAACTATATACCTGTGAGGCTATGACAACAATCTATGGCACTCACATATTGAGCCCCCACATATTGAACCCTCCTGCCCTCTTTATTCATTTTTATTATTTGTGGTAAGAACACTTAACGTGGTATCTATGCACTTAATAAGTCTTAAGTACATTATAAAGTTGACTAGAGACACTTTGCTATGCAGTAATTTTATGGAATTTTTCATCTTACCTAAGATGAATAAGGAACTTTGTACCCTTTTACTAGCATCTCCATATTTTCTCCTCTCCTTAGCTCCTGACAACCATCAGTCTAGTTCCTGCTTCTATGAGTTGTTTGAATCTTGGATTTCTCATATAAGTGACATTATGTATTGCTTGGTTTTTTAGATCCTATGTATACATGAAATCATGCAGGAATTTTCTTTATGTGTTTTGTGATACTACTATCCAGGTTTCTCTGTGTTGTTGCAAATAGAACTGTTTCACTCTTTTTCCAGGCCCATGTATATAACCATGCTTTCTGTATTCATTCATGCGACCACAGACATTTAGATTCTTTCCATATATTGACTCCTGTGAATAGTGCTGCAGTAAACAAGGCAGTGGGGATACCATACTGTGATCCCAATGTCAATACTTGTGTAGCTATTACAGAAAGTGGGACAGATAGCTGGATCAAGTAATAATTCTACTTAATATTTTTAGCATGTATTAATTGAACAAAGTACAAATTAAGGGGTTTCATTATGATATTTTATGTAGTTTCATTGTGATATTTTATGCATGCATATAATGTACTTTGATCATATCCACCCTGCAGTACTCTTTTGTATATCTTCTCCCCACTACACCTGTCCCTTCCCTTCCACCTTACTAGTAGTCCTTTCTTCATTATAATGACCTTGTAGGGTTTTTCCATAACTTCAACAAATAAGAGAAAACATGTCTTTGTGGACTAGGTTATTTCACCTAACATGATTATCTCCAGATCCATCCATTTTCCAGCAAATGACAGTTTTAGTATTCTTAGTGGTGGAGTAACATCTTATTGTGCGTGCGTACATCGTATTTTCTTTATCCATTCATACAATGATAGGTGTATGTGGTGGAATGGTTAAATATATTTCATATGTATATATAAAAACATCGTGCTCTAATGATAAAAAACATGCAATGTCATCCATCAATTGAACAGAAAATTAAATAAACATAAATAATAAAATCCTGTGGAATAAGTTTTACAATTTAAATTCAATGCTTTTCGCAATAGCATGCTGTATCTTTGGACAACAAATAAACCATATGTTAGGCCTCATCTTCCTATGCCTCATACCAAGTACCCTCCCACTCACCTCCACAGTTAGGGTGACTCCAGAATTTTTCATTCCATTCATGTGTGCAGCTCTTCTAAGTTCCTTTAAGCCTTTTTGGGGCTTATTGGTGATAATCAGCCACCTAGCTGACTCTGATAGCCACCTGGTGAAGGAGATGGTAGAAGTGCAGTCAACTCTTACATGGCCATTTTCCACATCACCTGTATCTTCAGATAACTTTCCCCTTCCATGTAACACCTACCTTTACTCATTTGTACCAAGAACTATCATCTCATATTGTCTGGTACCATAACTTGGAAAATAAGGAAAGACTTCGCCATACAGTATTCCTGCACTTTTAGGGATACAGACCTGGAGTTGTATTGGATCCCTATTAGTTGAATAAAAATTTACTTGGAGATCACAGAGTGGGAGTGTAAATGATACTAACTTTGTACAGACCTTGTCATGTTCTTTATAAGGGCATAATAATATTTATTCAAAATGTGTTATTTTCCCAATACAAGGACTTCCAAATTACTTTTGTACAGTACATGTCTCATACAGATCGGAATCAAGTCCTATCCTAGCATGTATGATGGTATCTGATCACACAGCAAGTTAAATCTGCCTCAGCTAATGGTGACAGAGTAACACAAAGTTTGTAGATTTATTATGAGGATAAAGTGACACAATGAGTGAGTTTGCCAGTGGATACACCCTTTGGTGTCTCTTATTATCTCACTATATTAAATCTGTAACTACCTCTGGGAGTCATTTCTAACTACATAGGCCTTCTGCCCTGAACCAGCATCAGAGTTGTTCTTAAGTCTTGAAAAAAGAGGAACGGAAAGGGATACAAAGAACACATGATGTAAGTGGCCCATTTGGCCTACAGTTTTAAACTGAAGAAACCATGCCACTCCTTCCTTCAGTAGGTACGTATGTATGTTTGTTTCTTCATTCGTTCACCTAGTATCACCCTCAAGAGGAAAATCACTAACATTTCCAACCTGTTTTTCTTTGCAAACCATACATACAAATACAAACATAGTGGAGGCATTTTAATATTCAAAAGTTTTTCTTTATGAAGGGAAATATTTTTGAAAATTTCTATGTACTACCTTATGTATTAAGGTTCACTGGCAAGGAGAACCAGAAAATTCAGAACATTCAAGTGAGACTTCATTATCATTCCCTGTTTTTGGGGTTATTTTACTAACTAAAATTAAGGTGTGCATGGTTAAATTTGAATATCAAGTGGTATATAATTTTTGTTTTAACCATATTGTATGCAACACTTTTGATGTGCTAGCACTGAAATTATTTGTTGTTTACTTGAATATGAATATACTACAATATAATTTATCCAGTTATTAAACAAAATATATAATTCTTGCTTAAACAGAAATGTCATATAAAGCATAATTTTCAGTAAAATTGCATCTCTTACAATATTTGGCTATCTTTTTGCGAAAGTTATTGGTTATCAAATTCCAATCTAATTCAGTATCTTCAATTTTATCTAACAATTTCTTGCTCTTCTCATGTTACCCTTAGGTATATATGAGGAGAGTACACCCTCAGGTATTACCAAGGAGCAAATGAGTCTCTTGTGTCCTGATTCAGTGTGTATTTTCATCCCTGGATCCCATAAGGTGGAGCAAGAAAGAAAGTTCCTACCTTGTGAGTACAAGTAAGAAAAATACTGGAATAGAAAACACCAACTGGAGAGTGCACCAATCTCGAATAACAAAAGCCAGGCCTCCCAATAATATCTGTCCAAAACCAGAAGCAAATCTTGATAGTGTTACTCCCATGACTTGGAATTTGGGCTTTGTCCATTCTATAACTAAAAGACAACACAAACTGAATCTTCATCTCAAACAAAGATGGAACATCAAGTCAAAATTAAGGCTTGGAAAATGTCCAAGATTCAAAATCTCAACTTACTGAGTATAGTACTATTTGTCATTATGGCAGTGGTAGACAATCCAGCCAGGAAGCGAAGCAAGCAGTAAACAAGGAAAGTGGGAGAAAAGGCTGCGCCGGTTTCAACAATGGCCAGTTGCAGAAAACAATATGCCATAACTAGCCTCCTCCCAAGCCTTAGAGAAAGAGAAAAATTAGATTATGGGAATAGCAACATCTCCTGTAAAATTAGCTCAGAGGAAGTGCTTTGAAACTGTGAAGAACCAAAAAATAACCAACAGCAGATATCTTCAAAAGCATTTCTCCATGTTTGTAAACAGACACTCTGTGTACCAAAGCTGCATCTCCAGTTGGCTACTAGTTTGGCCACCATTCAAACCATGTAAGACAGTTGTAATATTGGAAATTTTAACACATTGGAAGTTTCTCTTCTACTAAGACATGCATTTAGCACAGCAGAGAGTCTTCATAACGTATAAAGGATCAAAATCAGGTCTTGGGATCTAGGACTGCATGTCCTAGGAACTTTTGAAAAACAACACATTGAATTTGCTGATGAGTGGCATAAGAACTTCTCTGTGCTGTTTGGAGTTGTTGGCTTTGGGCAACATGCCACCTTCTAGTATAGGAAAGGGAGCCACAGTGCAGACCTGGTAACTTAGGGAACATTCCAAGAGGTAAGAATTAAGAAAGGTAGACAATGAACAAATATAAAGGGGAAAGATTTTTTAAAAAATAAAATGGAGTTCTAAGTTTCATAGACTTCTGGAAAAGTCATCTTTTCTGCCATGTTCAGGATGGCAAGCCTTTGGTGGTAATCTGGTTGTTTGTTCCTAAAGGAAGTCTCAAGAACATCATCAAGGAGCCCCACGGTTGTGTTAAAAGTACAAATAGCGATGTGTATATATTCCAAAGATATAATTATAGAAGCACAAAAGAAAAAGAATGATTTAACACATTTATGTACAATGCAAACCAAAATACATGTAAACAAAAAAGCGACACTTGGGAAAATACATATTAACTGATAAAAGCTTAGCTAACAGATTAGAATGATCCTTTATTAAGAGGAGGATACAGGAAGGCTTCCAAGCTTTATAACAAAAAATCAGCTAACAATATATTGAGGACCCATTCTGTGTGTAAATGCACTCTTTTCATCACTTGAGATTCTCTCTTTGGTTTTTCCGTATTTTGAGTTTAATGTGTCTCAGTCTAGGCTTCTGTATTGAGTCACGTGAATTAGTGTGTTGCAGTATTTCATCAAATGTGGAAAAAGTTCACAATATAAAACCAACAGTATTTGTTGTCAGTAAAAAAATGCAACGTTTATTTTTAAAACCCTGGAACTGTAAAATGTGAATTCTTTTAATTTACAGAATCAAGGGAAGTATTTTATTTTATTTTTAAATTTTTGAGGGGGACTTGGTGTCATTCTCTTATTTTTTTTTCTGTATTGTTGTGTTGGGTGGGGTACATTGTGCCATTTACAAATGGTATTACAATGTATCAAGAATATCATACTTGAATTCACCCCCGCCACAATTCCCCTTTATCCCCCACCCCCAATTCATGAAACAGTTTCAACTGGTATCATGTTTGCTTTTACATACAAATGTGCACATTTTATGAACTTTATTCACCCTCCTACCCCCTTTCCTGCTAACTCTCCCCTCCCACTGGTGCCAACTCTCCCCCCTAGGCAGGACGTGTTGACTCTCCTGTTCTACAAATTTTGCAGAAGATAAAATATAAAAAGAAACCATGACATTTTTGTTTGTTTCAGATAAAGCTACATAGGAAGTTTCTTTCTGGTATTTCCAAGTATGTATGTGTTATACCCTCAATGGTTTACCTTCTCTAATTATTGACTTTAGTCACTTTCTTATGGTGGTTTCAGATTTAAGATTTCTATATTTAATCTTGCATACTATCACCCATTTTCAGGTTCTTAGTTTCTTTATTTTATACACCCCTCCTTTGTGTTACCTCCCCTTTGTGTGACCAGTGTTTCAAAATATTGCTGCATTTATATTAGGTCTATATTCCAAATATGAGAGAGAACATGCAGGTTTTGGCCTTCTGAGCCTGGCTAATTTCACTTAAAATTATGTTCTCCAGTTACAACCATTTACCTGCAAATGACAAAATTTCAGTCTTCTTTGTGGCTGAGTAAAATTCCATTGCATACAAATACCACATTTTCTTAATCTGATCATCAGTGGTGGGGCATCCTGGCTGTTTCCATAGCTTAGTTATTGAGATTAGTGCTGCAATAAACATGGGTGTACAGGTGTCTTTGTTGTAAGCTGACTCACATTCCTTTAGATAAATCACTAGGAGTGGTATTGTTGGATAATATGGCAGATCTACTTTTTGCCTTTTAAGGAGCCTCCACACTATTTTCCATACTGGTTGTACTAGCTTGCATTCCCACCAGCAGTGTATGAGGTTAGTTTTTCCTCGAATTTGTGCCAACATTTGTTGTTGCTTGTGTTCTTGGTGTAGCCATTGCCCATTTCTTCATTGGGTCATTGACTGTTTTGTGATTTAGTACACAAGCACCAAAATTCTAAAAACTTTACAAAAATTGTTTCAACATTGAAAGTGCATTTACTTATGATTTACATTCACTCTGAGAAAAGAAACATATTTTACTATCTTCCAACTTACAGCAAAATAACCAATACTTCTCCCTTCTAGATTTTTTGTACAAGTCATCTAAAATTTAGGTTGAGAATTTAAGTGCTGCCTTACACTGTGTAAGGCAGTTTGGACATCTGCTTATATTCCAGTTTAAGATATTTCATGTGTAACATGTTTGATATACTTCATACACAATGTGATTTAATGTATGCCCTAAAAAAGTAAAAAGTAAAATGACATGAAGTCACTTAGTGAGGAACAAGTGAGGTTCAGAAGAAGTTAATCTCATATGTACTTATGTAGCATTGGGCATAAAGCCATTTTGAATAAAATAAGCTTAATTTTAAAAATGTTTTCAGTGCACTCTTAGTAATTAAGGCTTTTCTAAATGTGACATTATACCTTTAGTATCTTGTGATAGAGTTAATATAAAAGTAATGAAATTAAATTTCTTGGTTTGCAAACAAAATTATTCTGACATTAAAGAATGTCTCTTTCCAAATACTTGGTCAATGATGTCATGAACATTCAAAGAAGGAAATCATATGCCTGCATTGCTCTAAATGTACTGCCTTAGGTGCCTCCTGACCCTACTGTTATTAGGGGAGAGAACTTGGCCTCGTTTCTCAGTTCTGTGGAGTCCAACCTCCAGCCTCCCTCTAAAGAACTTTCACAAAATCAAGTTATACACATTGCTAACATGAAATAAGCTGGTCCTGAATGCCAA